TATCTGTGTCTCAGTTCATATCTATCTATCTATCTATCTATTTCAGTTAGTTTATATCTATGTATTTTCTATTTCACTCACTCAGTCTAAAAATGTGTGTATTATAGCACACCTTAAAACTATATTTTTATCTAAGAGACTCTCAATTACAAAAGACACTGTAAATAAACATTATTAAACTAGCAGAAATTCCTGGAATTTAGAAACATTTATTTGCAGGAAATATGATTTCATAGTGACTGGCAAAAAAAAAAAAAAAATAGACAGGAAGGAAAGTCATAACTTTGGATTTTGGACGGGAAAAATTTCAGAGAAAATAAATAATATTCTCTTTTAAAATAAAATTTTTTAGTAAATGTTAATTAAATAAAATATTACTTAATATTTTAATAATTAAAATATTGATTAATTTCTACAAATTAAATCAAATTTATTAAAATTCAGTTTATTAGAATATAAAATATTTGATGAGAAATCTATCTTATTTAACCCATATACTGATAGCATCTGTTTAAACTGATACCTTTTTTTCCATGAGTCTCATCTATAATTACAAATTTTTATTTGGAAATTACAAATTTCACTGAAATATGTTGGAAATTTTTCAAATTTTCCTTTGAAATCAAAAAAATTTGAACTTTAATTTAAATGGTTATAATATACAGGAAAGAGAGAATGTCAGTTCAATAAAAATATTACTAATTACTTATTTTATGAGGAATATTACTTATTTAAAATGAAAATATTTATCACTTTTCTTACTCAGTCCCCATTGCTCATTCAGTCAGTTATGTGTCATGTGTGATACACACTTAGGCAATCATTTATCGTTCAATACATGAGTGACAAGGCAGATTTTTCCCACAGTATGTTGCCATTTCTTTCTGCAGTAAACCAGTTGCCATCCAAGGCTATAGAACCTGGTCTGTCCTGCTTTTTAACCATAGCTGAGGGGAGAAGAAGAGGATTCATACCTTTCCCAAGGGTATTAGCATGTAAGTGAATGTAATGGATTTGACTGAATTTGAACTCAACTCTCCGATTCCACAGTCTGAGCCACTATCCATTACTCTACTGTGCCTCCTAACAGAAATTTCATCCCTGGTTTAAGAATCATTAGTTAGACTAAATTTGAGAAATTTTATCCATATCCTCATGGTGTCAGTTTAAATTGATACATACTTTATTCCTCATATATCTAACCTATAATTATAAACTATAATTTAGGAAAGTGAAAATTTCACTTAAATATGTTGGATAATGTCCAAATTTTCATCTGAAAAAAATACAAATTTTAAGCCAAATGCTCATAATATGTGGAATAAAGTGCTAGTTTAAACTGAATCCAGGAGGATATAGATTAATATAATAGGAAAATATATTTGAAGATTTGCATGTGAAATAATTCTAATAATAATGAAGATTTAACAAATTTTTGCCATTATTTTTCATGGCTTTTGAAAATTAGTGATAGCATAAGATTCTATTGGGTATAAAGTGAGGGATCATTTCACTATTGTTATTAAGTAATAAATTGATCACTTATAATTATGAAATATAAACCCATATCATCACAGCATTAGTTTAAACTGAGGCATTCTTTTTCCATATCTGAATTATAAATGTAAAATTTAATTTTGGAAAGTGAAAATTTCATTGAGAAACTTGTGAAAAATTTAATAGAAAATAATAGAAAATTTTATAAAAAATTTTATTAGTTAATAACACAAAACAATTAAAAATAACAGTTAATTAAAAAATGTAAATAAACAAATAAATATAATTGTCTAAGTTTTCCTTATACACATACTTTTTAGAGAAGTGTATTTTAATGAAAGCCAAATGGTTTATAAAAAATTGTCACATTTGTGTGTGAACTTTTCTATTTTTAGAATTGGCTGTTAAAGAACTGCCAAAATTATTTCAGTCAGATGGATTGTTTCAATTTTTTTTTTAAATTAAAAAAATATGTACAATTTCTATTTATTATACAATCAAAAGGCTGGGATTCCATTACACCCTCATAAGTTTGAAATTATGGTCTGTTTGGAGCCCCTTCATTTCTTATATAAAGAGAGGAGCAGCAGATAAGCTTCAGAAGGGAATAAGAATTTCAAGGCTAAAGGTAGTTAGATAGCAGAAGGGAGTAATAAGTCACACAAATGGATGGAGACTGTTGGCTGCAAAAGAAAGGTTCAAAACTGGCTAAGCTTTCTTCTTTCTGTGATTTTTTTGTCTTTCTCTTAGGTGGGTGCACCTCTTTTTGCAAAAAGTATTTTCTGCCTTATTCAAAATTTGTATTACCTTCTCAAAGTTTTTTAATTTTTCAAATATTGTTTGAAATCTTTTAAAATCAATTGTATATTTTTTGATATATTATCCTGCTTTATTTTTTAAATAAGGCCATAAATGGATATTTTTGTACAGGCCCATCTTGTAAAATATTGTAGGTGTTTTATAGTTTTAAATATGTTTTGTGATAAATGTTTGTTCTTTTAAATTTTGTGTAATATTTGAGAGTTTTTTTTTATTGCTTACACCTTTTTTAATATTCATGAAAAGAGAATGGACATTTTCTCATCTTATCCTTCCCAGGGAAAATAAATTTTCTTTTTTTGCACAGAAAATAAGTTATTGTAAAAGAAATTTCTTTTAATTTACCTTTGAAATCAAGAAAATATAAACTTTAACCAAAATAGTGACAATATACAGAAATGATAGGTTATCAGTTAAATGAACACCAAATGGCATTGTGTAATTGAAAATAATGATGAAAATATTTGTCAGTTTTCATATTTGGCCATTGTTGTTTATTACCTAACAGTAATTTCATCCATGGTTTAAGAATCCGCAGTTATCTTAGACATAAATATGAGATTAAATAAGATTCTGAGTGCTGAGAGTTTTTATGGCATATCCTCCTGGTGTTAATTTAAACTGATAACTTCTTTTCTCCATATATCTGAACTAGAGTTATAAAGTATAATTTTATAAAGTGGTATCCATATCATGCAGACTGGAGCTGTATAGTTCTGCAGCAAAGAAACACCAACATGTGCAGCAATTGACTAACCTGACTTTTCTGTGGAATTCAACCACTAGCACAGGATCTGGACAACTTAAGTTTATTATTACTTGGTGCAAAAGCAAGAGAAATAAGATGAAAGAAATACTAGTGAAAAATGAATAATAATTGCCAAGGCTTCATCTAAGAAATTCAGACAACTTAAGACTATTACTACTTGGTGGAAAAGCAAGAGAAATAAGATGAAAGAAATACTAGTGAAAAATGAATAATAATTGACAAGGCTTCATCTAAGAAATTCAGACAACTTAAGACTATTACTACTTGGTAGAAAAGCAAGAGAAATAAGATGAAAGAAATACTAGTGAAAAATGAATAATAATTGACAAGGCTTCATCTAAGAAATTCAGACAACTTAAGACTATTACTACTTGGTGGAAAAGCAAGAGAAATAAGATGAAAGAAATACTAGTGAAAAATGAATAATAATTGACAAGGCTTCATCTAGGAAATTCAGACAACTTAAGACTATTACTACTTGGTAGAAAAGCAAGAGAAATAAGATGAAAGAAATACTAGTGAAAAATGAATAATAATTGACAAGGCTTCATCTAAGAAATTCAGACAACTTAAGACTATTACTACTTGGTGGAAAAGTAAGAGAAATAAGATGAAAAAGAAATACTAGTGAAAAATGAATAATAATTGACAAGGCTTCATCTAAGAAATTCAGACAACTTAAGACTATTACTACTTGGTGGAAAAGCAAGAGAAATAAGATAAAAGAAATACTAGTGAAAAATGAATAATAATTGACAAGGCTTCATCTAAGAAATTCAGACAACTTAAGACTATTACTACTTGGTGGAAAAGCAAGAGAAATAAGATGAAAGAAATACTAGTGAAAAATGAATAATAATTGACAAGGCTTCATCTAAGAAATTCAGACAACTTAAGACTATTACTACTTGGTGGAAAAGTAAGAGAAATAAGATGAAAGAAATACTAGTGAAAAATGAATAATAATTGACAAGGCTTCATCTAAGAAATTCAGACAACTTAAGACTATTACTACTTGGTGGAAAAGCAAGAGAAATAAGATGAAAGAAATACTAGTGAAAAATGAATAATAATTGACAAGGCTTCATCTAAGAAATTCAGACAACTTAAGACTATTACTACTTGGTGGAAAAGCAAGAGAAATAAGATGAAAGAAATACTAGTGAAAAATGAATAATAATTGACAAGGCTTCATCTAAGAAATTCAGACAACTTAAGACTATTACTACCTGGTGGAAAAGTAAGAGAAATAAGATGAAAGAAATACTAGTGAAAAATGAATAATAATTGACAAGGCTTCATCTAAGAAATTCAGACAACTTAAGACTATTACTACTTGGTGGAAAAGCAAGAGAAATAAGATGAAAAGAAATACTAGTGAAAATGAATAATAATTGACAAGGCTTCATCTAAGAAATTCAGACAACTTAAGACTATTACTACTTGGTGGAAAAGCAAGAAAATAAGATGAAAAAAATACTAGTGAAAAATGAATAATAATTGACAAGGCTTCATCTAAGAAATTCAGACAACTTAAGACTATTACTACCTGGTGGAAAAAGTAAGAGAAATAAGATGAAAAATAAATACTAGTGAAAAATGAATAATAATTGACAAGGCTTCATCTAAGAAATTCAGACAACTTAAGACTATTACTACTTGGTGGAAAAGTAAGAGAAATAAGATGAAAGAAATACTAGTGAAAAATGAATAATAATTGACAAGGCTTCATCTAAGAAATTCAGACAACTTAAGACTATTACTACTTGGTGGAAAAGTAAGAGAAATAAGATGAAAGAAATACTAGTGAAAAATGAATAATAATTGACAAGGCTTCATCTAAGAAATTCAGACAACTTAAAACTATTACTACTTGGTGGAAAAGCAAGAGAAATAAGATGAAAGAAATTTGTATCTAGATAGATAGATATGAACAGAATGAGATAGATTGATAAATAGACAGATATGTATGCAATGTGATAGATATGAATAGACTAAAGTAGACAGATAGATAGATTACGGTTGCATTTTAAATCTACAACAAACTGCAAACACAACAGAATAGAAAAAGAGATAACAACAAAAAGAGATGTACATAGAAACATGCAGATAGATAGATAGATAGATAGATAGATAGATAGATAGATAATGAACAAACTTAGATAGATAGATAAATAGATAGATAGATAGATATGTACAGACTGAGATAGATAGATAGATAGATAGATAGATAGATATGAAAAGACTGACATAAATAGATTGTTATAAATAAATGCCTATATAGATTGACTGAGATAGACAGACAAGTAGAAAGATGTAAATAAACTCTGATAGCTATATTGACTGAGATAGATAGATAGAGAGATAGACTGAAGAAGATAGATAAAGAGATAGATAGACTGATTAAGATAGACAAAGAGATAGATTGACTGAGATAGATATGAACTCAGATTGACTAAGATAGATTGACAGATAGATATGAACAAATTGAGATAGCTGAATGAATAAAGAAAGAATTATAAGAAGATAGGATAAATCAAATGTATCTCCTAAGTTCTACTTTTATGGCTGAGATGATTGTTTGCCATTTGCATTGCAACATACAAGAATGTAGAAATCAATGAGAAAAATGGTTATCTAAACATTTATTCAAAGCATAATTATTAAGGAACTGTGTCAAATAGTTTTATTTGAAATATTTAAAGTGCTCCCCACCACCACCCCCACCACAAATGATCAGTACACAATTGTAGCTTAGCCTGCACAGAGTAGTACACACGTTCACAGAGATCAATATCAGTTTCCTCAAAATCAAAATGTACATTGATTTGAGACTTCCATTTCTGATTGGTAGTAGTCTTTGCATAATAAACTCTTTCATGAGCTCTCAGTGAAAGGAATCTGGATGTGTTGGGTGTGTGGAGTGGGCCAGTGTCTCAGTTGGTGTGAGGTGTGTGGAGTGGGCCAGTGTCTCAGTTGGTGTGAGGTGTGTGGAGTGGGCCAGTGTCTCAGTTGGTTTGAGGTGTGTGGAGTGGGCCAGTGTCTCTAAGAAAATGAACAATCTGCAATGACAAACATTAAAAACATGACTTCCCAGAATTTGGCATTACTTTTGATTCACCCTGTGTATGTAAGAACTATGTATCTATTTTTCTTTCACCCAATACAAGGCTCAAGAGTCACCCATGGTAGAGGGTTACTGAATGAGGTGTGTGATAGGAATGAAAGAGGAGATGGTAGGAAGTGAAGATTATAAGGATAAGGAGGATAGATAAAAATTTACCCTTTACTTGAAGATGTTAAGATTGTAGTGTAGAGGGTTACTGTTAAAATGGTTATGATGAATGAGGTGTGTGATAGGAATGAAAGAGGAGGTGGTAGAAAGTGAAAGAGTAATGGATAGTGACTCAGATTGAGGAATCTGAGAGCAGAGTTCAAATTCCCATGGGGTCTATTACATTCACTTACATGCTAATAACCTGTTAAAAGGTGTGAGTCCTCTTCTCCGCCCCCACAGCTATGGGTAAATAGCAGGACAGAATGTGTTCTATAGCTTTGGGTGGCAACCAGTCTGGGAAAGTAATTTTGTTTAAAACTGTATGTAGCCCTGCTGTAGCACATACTATATTGCTAAGGAAAGGATCATTCTCATTGGCTCACTGATCAATTAAGGTTGACAAATGCCGATGATGTTGAGGAAGTGAAGATTATGAACAAAGACTGATTATGAGGATAAAAACTGACCCTTAACTTGAAGAAGTTCAGATTGTAGTGCTCAAGGAAGCATCGACATGACAGTTTGTTCCATAGAATAGCAGGGAATTAGATAAAATCAAGATGGCTTCTTTGAAGAAGAATTGGGGCCACACTTTTCTGTAAAAATATATATGTTTTAGACACATAGTGTAATGTAAACAAAACCCCAAGTTTGTGATTTTTAGGTATGAACTGGAAGCTTTTCTTTGTCTAGAAGAATTTATGTCACTTTTTTCTGTAAGAATATGCACGCATTTGACAGATAGTATGAATGTAAACAATCCACCGAATTTAATTTCTCAGGACCAAAAAATTCAGACAACACATTAATCATGTCTTCTTCCTATCAGCAGGAAGTAGAAAGGGTGGAAACCTTGGTTTTGCTCAATTTTATTTAATCTTGGTTAGTTAATTCTGGGTTTGATTCTCTTTGGACCTGTTCTTAAATTCATTTTATTGTTCAAAACATAATTCTTAACTAGTTTTCTTTTTTCATATTTTTCAACCTACACTTTTTGATAAATTTATAATTATTATCCAGTTAGTAGTTCCTCCAAATCACGATAATGTAATTTCACGCAAGTAAATGTTTAAACAGGTCAGTGCCCTGTTACAGTAGTAGCCATTGTTCAATACCAAGAAAAAGCCGGAACTTTGACTATTGATTTTACAAGTAAGCAGGACCTCCTTTTTTGAAAGATAAGTGCAACAATGTCTTCCTTGTTCTTCTCACCACCCAAACTAAAAGGCAGAATACTAATAGATTAATAGTTAGAAGGACCACATTCCTCCCTGTTTTTTTTTGTGCAGGAGTAGAAGGTTATCCCTTGTTCCCTGTTTAGGATATTTTCATCCTTTTTTACTCCTTGTAGATATGCTTGCATCTTAGAGGCATTGTCACCTTGCTTGGGGTGAATTGATATAAAAAATAGGGGATGTATATCTAATAAATGATTCAAAAACAAATATGAACAGATACTACAGTGTGATCTGAATTGCCAAGAGGATAGATTTGTGATGCTCTACAAGATCTAGGAGGGGATGTAAGGAACAAAGGAAGTAGTGAAGGATGTTGATCAGATTGAGTAGGGAAACGAGGAGGGAAATTCACTATTTGATTGAGAGATTGAGCAATAGAAAAATTCAAAGTCTGGCAACGTCAATAACATTAGAATGCTTCAGCCACTTGACATGTTGAGCAAACACCAAACACAAAAATGACTGTAGAGAGGAAGAGAGAGAGTATGCCATTTCTATACTGTCAGATTTTTTTATCTAATACTAAAGGAGAATAATGTTTCCGGGGATGTAACAGTAAAAAGATAGATCAAGTATCCACCATCATAAAGACTGAAAAATAAAATTGATAAAGATTATTGTTTAAGGTTGACGGACACGCATGTCTTAATTAGTTTTTTGTTTTGTTTTGTTTTTTTACGAATTGGTCAAACCCAAACTCAAACAAAAACACTGTTTTCAATCGTTATGAGTCTACCGATTGAAAAGAATTTTTCAATTTTATTATAAACAATTGTCTTGTAAATGGAATTTTTAAAGCATTCTGAATGTAAAAATAAAGAAAAAAAAGTATGCAAGACAATAAAAAAACACTACCTGCCAAAAAAAAAAAGTGAAGTTTTGTTGAAATCAGTTGAAAAATGTAGGAAATCTGATCCCATATATAAACGAATACACACTGGGCACCTCGGCGTGGTGTAATGGTTAGCAAGCTTGTCTCGCTAGATCAATTACAACTGAAAAGTGAGTTTGATCCTCACTAGATGCCCCATACTTTCGGCCTTGTGCCACATCTAAACTATGCTTGGAAAATAACTATAACCGAACACACACACACACACAAACAACCTGGGTTTTATAATAAGTATAACTCGATATGAGCTGTCCCCCTTTCATTCTCGAAACAGCGATGACTCTTAATTGTGTTTTCAAATTAATTTCATGCAAAAACAATTGTGTTTTTCCAATTTTTGGCACTGTCAGAACCACTGCAAGGTAATTTTACGTAGTCCTGTGAAGTTTTGTTGAAATCAGTTGAAAAATGTAGGAAATCCTATCCAATATATAAACGAACAGACACACACACACACACACGACCTGGGTTTTATAATAAGTATGATGTTCATGTAGCTTATTACTATACCATTGAAAGTTGATCAAGGCTTAAGTTAAAGTACTTGAGCTGTTATCTTCTGGAGATCAAATGTGTCAATTTATATATTTTATTTTTTCCTTTTTTTATCTGTTTTTTTTTTCTCTGTCCTCTCCTGCTGTAGTCATTCTTGTCTTTTTCAATACATGGAAGTTTCTTTTTGTATTTTAGGATGTTTTTATGTTTGTTTTTTTTTGTTGTTTTTTTTTCTCTTTAAATTATTGCTCCATAAAAATACATATTGAAGCACAAGTTTGTAGCGAAATGAATCCCTATCAGTATGCTGATGACAGAGAGAAGTCTTGTGAATGGGAGATTCATATCTAATAAATGAGTCAAAAGAAATATAAACAGATACTATAATATGATCCAAATTGGCAAGAGGATAGAATTGTGATGCTCTACAAGAACCAAAAGAGGAGGTAAGGAACAAATCAAGTAAAAAAGAATGTCGATCAGATTTATTAGGGGCAACAAGTAGGGAAATTCACTATTTGACTGAAAGACTGAGCAACAGAAAAAATGAAAGTCTGAATGCTGGCAACATCAGTAACATCAGTCAAATGATTAAGCCAATCGATGTGTTGAGCATTAAAATCAACAAACACAAAAATATTCGCAAATGAATGTAGAAAGAGAGAATATGCATTTTCTATATTGTCAGAATTTTTGTCTAATATGTTCATGTATCTTATTACTATAATATTTAGAGTTAATCAGAGTCTTCGTTAAAGTACTTGAGCCTTTATCTTCTGAAGATCCAATGTGTCAATTTGTATATTTTATTTTTTCCTTTCTTTACCTGTTTTTTTCTCTGTCCTCTTCTGTTGTAGTCATTCTTGTCTTTTTCAATACATGGAAGTTTCTTTTTGCATTTTAAGAAGTTTTTATACTTTTATGTTTTATTTTTTTTTAAATTATTGCTACATAAAGATAGATATTGAAGCACAAGTTTGTAGTGAAATAATCAGTAGTTTGAGAGATCAACATGTTGACCAGTAGGCAACATTCTCACAACTGAAAAGTAAGAGTTCGTTTAAAAAAAATAAGGGATCCGTCTCTATATATAAAACAGAGGATGTCTGTGTGTATGTCTATCTGTGTCTGTGTGATACCTTTTCATTTGAGATCCATCCAACCGATTTTGACCAAACTTGGCATATACATTGTACAATGTAAGAGATAGGTTCTTAACATAAAAAATTGATAATTTTTTAAAAAAATCAATGATCGATAAAGCTGATCAAATATCAATAAATTCAACTTTTTCTTCCGATTTTGTTCAAACTTGGTATGTAGGTTACTTACATCATGATGAGCTCAACAATACTTCATTTTTATTTCTATGCCACAGTGTTTAGCAAAAAAACTGCAAAAACAAAAAATCGATTTCAACACAAATCTTAAACTAAAAACTCCCTCAATTTTCAAGCAATCTAATACAAACTTCACTCAATTGTAGCCAACAATAAGTTGATTGTTTAACAGTCATGTAACTTGATAATTGAATCGACCAATATTGTGAAAACCTGCGTAAATAGAGAAAAATGGCAATTTTTACAGGTTTCTTTCTTATTTTTTGTTGATCTTTCAACCAATTTACATCAAACTTAGCAATTGCTTTATAAATGTATCCTCTTTTATATCCCTGGTAGCACACTGACAAATTGAATTTCAAAAACTCCAAAATAATTGTGGTCTGAAGTGGGTTTTCATGTTAACTGTTTTACCCCCTCGGCTAACTTCAATTGAATAAATACAGACTACTTCTGTTATATCAGTAACTAAATTAATTCAAAATGTTTTTTAATGAAAGTACTTTATAATAATTGAAGAAGATAGACTCTGTTACATCTAAACATGATGCTGTTTTTGCTCCATTCTAATTGAACGCTTTTTCTGATCGAACAGCTGGGCATGGTTGCTAGTATCTGATAAATGAGTCAAAAGAAATATGAACAGATGCTACAGTGTGATCCACATTGCCAAGAAGACAGAGTTGTGATTCTCTATAAGACCCAAGAGAGGAGGTAAGGAAGAAATCAAATAAAGAAGAATGTTGATCACATTTATTAGGGAAACAAGGAGGGAAATTTACTATTTGACTAAGAGACTGAGCAATGGAAAAATTGAAACTTACTGGCAATATCAGTAACATGATTAAGGCACGTGACATGATGAGCATTAAAATCACTAAACACAAAGATGTTCACAGATGTTCACAGATAAATGTTTATCAATAAGTCCATAGCCTGATACAGTTATTAGCTGTGGAAAGCTATGATCATCTGTGAAATGAATAGACTTAAAGAATGAGAGATTGAGAAAGAGAGAGAAAGAGAGAGAGAGAGAGAGAGAGAGAGAGAGAGAGAGATCAGTCAAAGTTACAAGGTTAGAGTACTGATGTAATGGAATAACCAGTCACCCCCCCAATGAATGATTACACTATAGGTAGTAAATACCTATACACTGCGTGCCAAATTATTATTGAGATAACTTTTTTATAAAATTTCAAAAACCGTCAAATCAATTCACACAAAATTTTTACACAATGTTGGCAACACTGACCTGCACAAGCACTGAAATTTTCGTACTGATCTGCGCAATGTAAACAAACTGGCACCATATTTGTTATCAGTGTGGTGATTTGAGCATGCCAAATTATTAGAAAGGTTTAGTAAAATTCCCGGAATTGAGCAAACAAAACGTTTATTAATGTTGCATATGAATGTTTATGATCAAAAGAAGCCAATAAATAAGATAATCAAACAAATAATAACAGATACAAACAAAGGCACAGTTTTAAACAAATTAATAGGGAATGTGCTTTCCCCGTTTTGAAATTACTTGAAGAAGTCGACGATTCATAGAATTTGTTAATTGTAGGATGTCATCTTCTGTAATGCCGCGAGATATGTCAAGAATTGCTTCCCACAACTCAGCGTTGCTCCTGAATTGTCTTCCGTTGGCGTACAGTCTTCCCTTCATGATGCTCCAAAGGTTTTTGATTGGGTTCAAATCCGGAGAATTTGCTGGCCACTTCATTTTTCGAGGTCCATCGAAGCCTAACTGTTTCAAATATTCAATAGTCTTGTGAGCAGCATGTGAGGGAGCATTATCTTGCATAAAAAAACAATGGCCCTTCTGAAGGCAACTCTTTGCCTTTTCATCCATGGTTCAAGATGCTCCTTCATAAACGCTATGTATGCATCAGCAGTCATTTTGACGCCATCTGGTACTCTCCATAGGCCCACTAATGCTTTTCCAATAATACCCCCCCAGATCATTATGCCTCCACCACCTTGTTGGTGTCTCAAACGCTGATGGAGATTCTGTCCGTTCATTACCCAGACTTTGCACCGAGTGTTGCTTGAGTTTCATCTGTGAACAAAACTTTAGAGAAGTCAATCTTCATATTGTCCTCGGCCCATTTCAGTTGATTTTGAATGCGATTTCTTGTCAACGGAGGCTTTGCTACAGGTTTGACTGTTGTTGCTATTTCCCTCAGATACCGGCACTGAGTAATTTCAGACACAGTAGGATCCCCAATGCGACTGAAAAGCTCTTGGCTGGTAAGTCCAGGGTTCTTTGTGACACCTTGTTTAAGTCGTGACATGAGACGACGTGAAATAACCCTTGGCTTGCTGTTATCTTCCCTTTTGTGTACTTGTGTAGGGTCGGCGATGACATTTTTCGCTGTTTGATGACACCTCCCAATCATTTTAGAAATTTCTAGGGTAGATTTACCTTTTGAGAGTTCTGAGGTGATAGTTTTCTTTTCAGCATCGCTTAAACTGCTTTTACGGTCCATCTTTTCACTAAATTCTTACACTTTTCTAATAATTTGGCATACTCAAATCACCGTGCTGGCGCCAGTTTGTTTACATTGTGCAGATCAGGTCGAAACTTTCAGTGATTGTGCAGGTCAGTGTTGCCAACATTGTGTGAAAATTTTGTGTGAATTAATTGGATGGTTTTTGAAAAATTATAAAAAAGTTAACTCGATAATAATTTGGCACGCAGTGTAAAGTCAACTGTCTATGAGAGACTTGGGGAAGAGTGAGAGAGAGAAGACACAAGCACGTCCAACCTTCAAATTAGTGGCACTCACTAATAGATTGACCTGTGTGTATAACGGTACCATATTTCATATTGTACTGGTTTTGTACAATAAACCTTTCTTCTATTATCCACCTGGTGTTAAGTATTTATTTCCTTAGCACAATATAACAGGTTTCCTCTGTTAAACCTGTTCTTCCATCTATGCACCAAAACCTCACACCAAAATAGTTCCTCGATTTATTTAGCTGCAGTATGCACTACATAGGAAGAACGAATCAAAAGGCTGGATTCAAGAATTAAACAACATGTGCCTACAAAAATCCGAAACTAAATTATTTACTATCTGATGTTCTGACTAATAAAACAGGTCTTCCATTACAGAGCACTTCATAAAAAACATGCAATTTGCTAATTTTAGTGTGTATCCTTTTCCCATCCTGAATAGGTTCCATCCAAATTACCTACTTAAGATATTGGAGGCTATATATATATATATATATATATATATATATATTATCCATGAAACCTTCACTCTCTAAACAGAAGGATTTTCTCCTTGGCCTCCAATTGATTTTCATCTAATATTTTCCTTCCCTTATATTCCATTCCTTTTATTAATATATACATATTTATTCCCTTAGCACAGAATATAACAAGTACCCAAAGAGGATTGAACTATGTACAAAGACATAATTGTTTTCAGGATGAAAGGTGTCACAACAGTTGAATAGTTATTTACTAAACTTAATTGAGTTTGTTGTATAATCAAGGGTGTAGTTCTTGCAGTGAGAATCGAATCATCTAATTGACTGGCTTGCAATGCATTGCTCTACGTCGAAGCTGACATTGTTCAGTCAATCTCTGCCTGTATCAGTACAAAAAGGCACAGCAGGTGCAAGAAATGGATCTGTTAAACCAAGATCAAATTCCAGCAGAGATATTTTATATTCACTTCACATTTACGAAAGGCATGAATCCATTTTACATGTGCTCTGTCCATCACCAAACACAAAGATGTTCACAGATAAATGTCTATCAATAGGTCTGTAGCCTGATCCAGTTATTAGCTGAATTTTTATATGAAATTTTCACTGTGTAATGTTTGATTTTTGTGATTAATAGAAAAGTTTTAGATTAAGTGCATTAACAAGTAATGAAATTAGAAAAATTACTGCTATTCTCATCATTGGGCGAGAGAGTTAAAGTAGATGTACTCATGAATATTTCACAGTTTTTGTATTTGAATTTTCTGTTGTACCATTGTAATGACAAAAGTACGCAGGTGTAGGCTTTAAGAAAGCTGTATTCCACTGAGAATACAATGTTTGCATATAGTGTCCTTTTATAGTCCCAGTAAAAAGAAATATCTCTCTCAAAGAGAAGAGTAGCAAAACAAGGGGAGACCATTCTTGATTATTCATAACAACCATAATATTTAATGAAGTGTTTCTCAATGAATTCAAGCAACAGCACATCTAGAAACAAATGAAAATATCATGGAACACTCAGGAAAATTTTTAAAGGGTAGACATTTAAATGTTATCCAGTAAAACTATAGATTTAAAATGTTATGCTTTGCATATCTCTCTGCATAGTAGTAGCCATAGTATAGTTCTCCATGTCCTGAATAGTAACTGGGTTTGCTAGGCATAGCCACTCCATGTTCATCAATTGTTTTCTATTTATACTTGTCTATCTAATTTGTATACAATATTACATAAAAATATGAACTTACGTTATTTCAATGTTTCTATTGAACTATTTGTGCAGCTTAATTAGTGTTCGTCGCCTTGTTGCCTGTTTTTACTTTTTTTGTGATTTATGTGTGTGATACATGCATGCATATGTGTATGAAAAAGTTCAATTACTAAGGGGAAAGATATTTTCATGCCTGGGCAGGTCCAAATTGGTGTTGTCATTTTTACCACATGCTAGAAAGAAAAAAGAGAAGGAGAACAAAAGACTGGAAGTATCTTGTTTTTATAATTATAACTGTTTGACAGTAGCCTCTAATGACTTCTTGGCAAAACTGGATATGATGGGGGGTGATAACCCATAATATATATAACCTGTGCATAGAAAGCAATGGCCAGATGATAGCATAGAGCAGTGTTTCTCAATGTTTTCAAGCAACAACATACCTAGAAACAAATAAAAATAGCATGGCACACTTAAAGGGTAGACATTTAAATGTTATCCACTAACACCATAGATTAAAAAAATATATAAACTTACTGTAATGACAAAAGTATGCAGGTGTAGGCTTTAAGAAAGCTTTATTCAACTGAGATTACAAAGTTTGCATATAGTGTCCTTTTATAGTCCCAGTAAACAGAAATATCTCTCAAAAAGAGGGGAGTAACAGAACAAGGGGAGACCACTCTTGATTATTCATAACAACCATAATATTTAATGCAGTATTTCTCAATGTTTTCAAGCAACAGCACACCTAGAAACAAATAAAAATAGCACTGCACACTTAGCAAAATTTTTAAAGGGTAGACATTTAAATGTTATCCAATAAAACCATAGATTTAAAAAAAATATGTACTTTATTTCAATGTTTCTATTACACTATTTGTGCAGCTTATTTAGTGTGAAACCTGTGACAGGTGTTTTTTGTGATTTCTTCAATGTTTGGTCAAATGTTTGATAAGCAGACCTTCATTTCTTCTTTGGTTGAGCGTATATTCATGCAGTAACAATATTTAATGGTACACTTTAGAGGATCATGTGGCACACTAGTGTGCTATGGCACAATGGTTGAGAATCACTGATTTAATAAATAGATAAGCTCATTGTGAGTCTCATGACTATAGAATACCCACTGAAATTTCCCTATTGCATCATTAAATATTTTAACTTCACAAATTTAACCAATTATTGAAATAACCGTCTTTAGTATGAATGCTAGCCGTTACTCAAAAAAAAGTAAGAGGGTACAAATGAAAAGATTTAAGACTTTTCCATTTAACTGAAGGAGACATTAAACACATGAGAGCATTATCACCTCCTCTATCTTCCTATTCTTTATTTTTCTCACTGAATCCAAACAGCGTCTTTAATATGTCTTTTTCATTTTTCCTCACAATCAAAATGGAATAGTCCATTACTTATTGTAACAGTTGCCAAAGGGACTGGTATAGTGATTTTCCAAGCATAGCCTAGATGTGGCACAAGGCCGAAATTAGGGGGCACCCAGTGAGAATCAAACTCACTACTCAGTTGTAATTGTTCTAGCGAGACAAACTTGCTAACCATTACACCACCTCAAAAACTATACAAGGGGGTGGGGACTGGTATATGTGTTCCCAGGTTTAGAAACTTTGCTACTTAGG